GCAGACAAGCACAGTCTTCTACATAGCTAACATCAAGTATGATGATTCCAAACAAACAGTTTCAGATTTTCCCTGGGGCAACAGTGAAAATCCCAAACCAAATTAATTGAACACACTACATGTTAAAACGTGGATTTGTATCTTCCCTCTTTTATGTCCTCTGCTTGTTTGGTTTGAGGTCAAACTCAAGTGTCTGGTGGGAGAAGGAATAGTGATCACAGCTGAACAGAGGAGGCAGCTGGCAGCAAATAGAGCGAACGGTCCACCTCTCCCCACAAGCAACAGGGAAAACGAACACCAGCAGAGAGTGGGGTGTGCAGACATGGCCAGCTTGCGGGCTGGCATTGCTCCCGAGCCACGTTCCAACACGGCAGATGACCTTTTCCAGAGCCTGCAAAGCTGGTGGGAAATCCACCTGCAGCCTGGGGCTGGGGGACAGGAGGGATTTCAGAGCAGTGTCTGATTCCCAGCATGGCCACAACATCTAGTGTCGAATGACAGAGTTTTGTCTTTTTCTTTTATTTTCAAATTAGAAGGTGGAGACCCCCTCAAGCCCAGAGACAACCAGCCCTGCCTGGCCTCTGAGAAAGTGTCTCGGGGAGTGAATCCATCATGTAACGGCTGTCATCCTGCTCTGCCTCCTCCTCCCCCGGGATCCGTCAGGGTTTGCAATAAACAGTTGCTAAGACCAGGCGCGGGGGCTGACAACTCTGCCGTGTGTGTAGCCTTCCCCCTGCTTGAAGGGAAAGGCGTGTTTTAAAGGTGAAGCCCACAGCCACAGATAGCTGCTACCTGGGCTCCCCTCGCCCCTGACCAGCCATGGCCAGCATCCACCTTCCCTGCTGTCATCCAGCCCCAAACCCTCCATCTCTGACAGCTCTGGTGAACGCTCCACTGAGTAACGCTGCCTCAAGGCACGTGAAGAAACCAAGCCGGCTTGGAGGATTAACTTCAGCGACGTCCCTGCCCTCCACCCGGGATAAGCAGCCTTCTCATGGCTCCCTGCCGGTGGCCAAGCCCCTTCCACCCCTCCTCACAACCGGGATCCTCGTCCGAGAGAAACACGTGCCTGCAGCGTGCCTTAATCACCGTCCATTACGGTCCCAACCCAGGAGGCCGTGTTTCTCCTCCAGGTTTAGGGAGCGGTGCCGGACCCCGACAGCAGCAATGCCACGGATCGGGCCAAGGGTGGGCCCTTCGTGCCGGAGCCTTGCGGAGCCGCCTCCTCACCCGCCCCTTCTAAACGCCTCCGGGCAGCTCGAAGCGGCAGGCTGTGGCTGGCGGAGGCCCCCGCG